GGAACCGGAACCGAACCGGAACCGGACCCGTTAGAACCGGAATATATAGAACCGGGTCCGGTTCCGGGTTTAAAAATTGGCTTTATCCGGATTCCGGGTAATCCGGGTTTGGGTCCATTGGGTCCGGGTAAACCGGGTCTAAAATCCGGAACCGGTTTTTGGAACCGGAACCACTTTTAGGGCCGGAACCACTTTTTGTGAAACGTTTACAAGATGTATATCTTATTCGTTTCAACTCCAATTGACATACGGTTTTTTCCAACATGTAGTTTAGAGTTTGTACATGATTCTAGACTATAAATTTTTCATTTTTAGTTTTATATTCATTGACTTACAGTCCTTAAAAGTTGAGATACCAAAGCTGAAAGTTTTTAGTTTTTTAGTTTTTTTGTATTCGGTGAAAGTTTTAAAGCATGCATATCTAATTCGTTTGAAGTCGGATTGATATGTGGTTTTTTTTCAACTTCTAGTTTACAGTTTGTGCATGAGTTTAGACTATAATTTTGTCATTTTTGGTTTAACATTCAATGATTTACAGTCCTCCGAAGTCGGGATATCAAAACTGAAAATGTTTTTGTACTTTGTATTATGTGAAAATATTAACACAGGTATATCTCATTCGTTTAAATTCGGATTGACATGCGGGTTTTCCCAGAGTGTATTTTAGACTTTGTACATGATTTTGGACTCTAATTTTGTTAATTGTGGTTTCGTATTCAATAAGTTACAGCCCCCAAAGTGGAGATATCAATATGAAAATTTTCAAAGTTCAACCCACTAAGTTGTAAGTAATTACCAAAAATTCCGGTTTTTTCGGGTCTAAACCCACTTTATCCGGTTCCAGTCTACCCACTTTGATGTTTCCGGGTTTTCCGGTTCTAGACCCACTTTACCCGGAACCATACCCGGAACCGAACCGGAACCGGTTCCTATATACCGGTCCGGTTTCCGGTTCTATAAAATCCCGTTAACCGGGTCCGGGTCCATCGGGTCCGGGTTTGGACCCACTTTCATCCCTACTTTGAGGTTTGTAGTGGTTTTGACCTATGATCGGGTGCCGTTAGCAATACCCGACAACAACTATGATAGTATTTTCCCATAATAGCATCCTACTTTTTAGTTATTTATTCTTTTAATAATATCATTTAAAAGTAAAAAATATATATTTTAATTTTGTCAGGCATTTAATTTTTAAAACTGAAAAAGATCTAAAAATACCCCGCCAAACGAGCACTTTAACAAGGTATAAACCATGAACCCTGACATTTATTTTTTATTTTTTTGTCATTTGCAATTTTTGTATAGGCAAACATCACAAGATTCAGTTACTTTGTAAACTTAGCTTTTTTGTTGAACTCAACTGAAAATTGGTTCATTAACATGAGTTATGGAGTACAAAAGATGTTAGTTAGAGTATGCGTTTAGTTTATTATTACATCGATCACATACTTCAATTTCTTGAATATTTAATAAATGAAAACATTGTTTTAGCTTTAGAGAGTGAAGCAAATGAAGCTTGCTGAAGCATCATCTTATGAAAGTCAGAGTAACACAACCATCACTTCCATTAATAATTCATGTCATCCTAATGATTTTTAATAACTTTTGCTTACTAAGCACTATTATGTAAGTAAATTTTGTACTTTAGGTGTTCGATGCAATTTATGTGATTAATTAAAGACTTGTTTTTTCCTTGTTTTGCAGTGGAAGTGTTAGATGATGATACATTATAAATAGAGAAATATAAGAATTGCGACCAGTGAACAAACAATTACATTGTTTTCAAAAGTATCTTCATCTTCACTATACTTATTTCAGTTAGGCATTACAGACCGATACCTACTGTGATCCGTGTGTATGTGAGCTAATCTTTATGTGTGTTTAATCATATATATAGTTGTTTATGTATATGTCGTCTGATTTGTATCAACTTATGTGTGCGTCATATGATTTGTATATTTATGTCTAATGTGATCCGCACGTCTTTGACTTCAATGTAGTTTTTTTATAATTTTTTTGCTTATTAAACCATAATTCCTACAAAGTACAATGCTATTCTGGATAAAATTTTATTACTAATAAAAACTCAAGTGAAGTGATCTAAAACAACAAACCACAATTTTTAAAACTTGCATTACCACTTTATTATTATTATTATTATTATTATTATTTTACAATGGAACATCGTCCAACCCCACAACACGGGGATCCTTCCCTAGTTATATAAATCGTGAATGCACTATGCTAAATGTATATGCAAATTTAGTTTTGTAATGTATAATCTTGCATGTAAGTATACTTATAAAACATTAAAATGTATAAAAAGAGTTAAAAATAATCATTGTTAAAAATATTTAGTTGATAAATAACTTGTCAATAAATTAAGCATTTTTTTTCATAAATGCATTTATACAATGGTACACTAATGTAGTAAGTTAATAAGGAAAAGACAAATATGACTAATTTATTTAAAGTTTTTTCCAATATTTAGCTTCAGAATTAGAGTGTTCCCCAAATAACCTTTAATTTTGTAGGTCCAACCTGCAAAATAGTTGTTGGATCAACGAAATTCCTAAAACGTAGTCGTTTTGAATAAAACTGAACTTCTTTTTGTACGAGTTTGGCATGTGAAAATGATATATATATATATATATATATATATATATATATATATATATATATATATATATATATATATATATATTTGCAGGTTCAACCTAGTTTTAACATGAAAAAATTTCAAAAAAAGAAAAAACAAGTGAACAATAATTTTGTAGGTTTGACCAGGAAATTATTCTTCATCTACGAAAATAAAGGGTAATTTGTCATTTTTATTTTGATTTATTATTATTATTATTATTATTATTATTGTTGTTGTTGTTTTTTGTGGTAGCAATCTTTCAAGATTATTTTCACAACAAAGAGAGTTTTATATTGTTAATACTGAGTCTTAGATTAAGATTGATTTTACCAAAAAATAATGCAAAAATGAAGGGAAAAAAACTTTATATAAAGGGACCTACACCATTTGCTAATTTCGCATTAGTCAGTATTTACCTCCCCCCCCCCCCCCCCCCCCCCCCCCCGATTTTCACTAAGGTGCTGTTTGTTTTTTCTGAGGCAAAATATCTGCAGTCTGCGGACCACATCTGTAGACCTCTGCAGTAGAAGAGGTGGACCAAACGTCTGCAGTCTGAAAAAAGAAGACTGTTTGTTTTTTTAACATCTGCGGACTATTAAAATAAACTGAAATCTAAATAAACTGGTTTTTTAAAACTTCAAAGCGAATTTTTTATATATTTTTACGACTTTATTATAAAAATATGACGAATCTAGATCAACTTTTATGTATTATTATATAAAAAATAAAAATAAAATTGGTATTAATTCATATACATATTTGATAAAAACCAACAACTTTGATTGCAAAGTTATAACCAAACATTATAATTAGTAATCAATGAATTTGATACATAAATAGATGGAAATAAACTTCGATTTTTTCAAATAAATCTATTAAAAACGTACGATAAATATTTTCTCGAGAAATTGATGATACTCTATTAAATAAAGTTTTACAAAATTTTGGCAAAAAAATATAAGAATATATTATGATTTTTTTTTCATATTTATATAAACAACTTCAACGAATATTATTATAATAAATTTTTATTTATAAATTTGTTAAAAATATCATGTTTGTATCGTCAAATGTTTTTTTTTAAGTTTTGTAATTTTTTTTTCATATTGTTTATCATTAATAAAGTTGGAAAAAATATAAATTAAAAAAAAACTTTTAAAAAATAAAGATATATATGTTTTTTTAAGCTAGAAGATGTCTGAAGATGTTAGAAGACTCTGGTCCACATCTGCACCAAGAAGAGGGCGCGCAGACATTTTTAGGTCTGCAGTCTTCAAAAAAACAAACAGTCTGCGAATACTAATGTCTGCGCGGCGCAGACAGAAGACGTCTCGTAGATCTGCAGACAAAAAACAAACACTACCTAAATCTTGGAAAAAGTTAAGTGGATTTGTAATGTAAAAGCAGGGTTAAACTTTACAGTGGTGACAGGGTTGCAAAGTGCACTTTTCAATTATGTAGAGGGAGTCAGCAAAAGTTGGTGACACATTCCAAGCTAACATATTGCGTGGTCATAGGATTTTGTTAGAAACTGTAACAACTTATATATAATTTCTTTCTCTCTGGGCATTATACATTCATCATCAAAATAGAAAATACGGAGATCTCATGAATTAAAGTTTTTAATCTGTTTGTTTATTCATCAAAATGATAAATATGGACATCTTAAACTTTGTTTTTAGTTTATCTTTTCTTTATTTCCCATTTCCAGTTTTGCATACGGTGTTTACTCGAAGAGAAGGTGTAATCGGTTAGAGGTCTTGCATTGACTACCGACCAAAGAAGTGCTGTCTTTGATGTGGCTGCTGATGATTTGGACACCTTCCTTGCTTGTATGTTATCTTTTTCTTAGGGTGTATGATGGAATGGAATAATGCTCCACTGCAATCCTATGTTACCAATTAAATGTTGGCAAATCAATTTTGAGATAAAATAGGGAACGCTTAAAAGATAATTGTATTAATTCCTTTTACAATATGTTTTCTTCTAAGAAAAACGAGTTCTTAAATAAGGTTCATAGCTGTATACATATCAATATGACAATATCCATTAAAATGTTTGCGGTAAACAATTGTCAAGAATTAAGGTCCAATGATCAAAGTCTAGAAAAAATAATTGTAACCAGTTAATCAAAATCAATGGAGGAGAGGTAATGAGGTAATAACTACTTTCGGTGATAGAAAAGATAATTGTAATTAAGACAACTCAACGATCAAGTAATTAAAAATTCAAAATCATCAAACAACACAACAATACAATTGTATTACAGTTTTCTGTGGGGGCCCATTCAGTCATGTGTTCAATCCATGGACAATATATGACACTTAAACAATAGTTGTAGGGGCCATTTGTTCGTTCAATCCATTTCCCCTTTTAAAGTTTCAGATTTTCTTTTTCTGGATTCCTGTATGCCGAATCACCCCATGGTTGTTTCTTGTACAACAAGCTCTTCTATATGCCAAATTGCCAACCTTCTATCGCTTTCTACACTCTTCAAATCTTATTGTGAGCGATACCGCTGCTCCTAATTCTGGTTTTCTTTGTAAGCTCAAATGGCGTGGTACAGAAGATCAAAACTAGGTTTTGATGCAATTTCCAGTTACTTCACCTCCAAATTAACCGCTCCCAAAAGCACCATCCGAAACGCAGGTTCTGTTTTTAACCATAGTAATCAATTAAGTAAGCTTACTTCTAGTCCAAATTACCCTCCTAGGGTTTCTAAATTTTCTCTCTTTCCACCCGTAAATGTCAATAGAAGCTTAAACTCTCGATTATATGCAACTGGTTATAGATATTACTATGTCGATTCACGACAAGTTAGGCATTTCAAGCCCCGCGGATTCAGAAGATGGTCTGATGACCCTAAGAACGTTTTGATAGTTGTGATAGTGGGATCGGGAGTTGGGTTAACCGTATATTTTGGGAATGTTGAGACGATACCTTACACAAAACGGAGGCATCTTGTTTTGCTGTCGAAAAATTTGGAAAGAACGATCGGTGAGTCTCAGTTTAAGAACATGAAGGCTGGGTTCAAAGGAAAAATTCTACCGGCGATGCACCCAGAAAGCGTTAGGGTGAGATTGATTTCAAAGGACATTATCGAAGCATTGCAAAGAGGATTGAAGAAAGAGCAAGTATGGACTGACTTGAATTACGCTTCTGAGAGTGGAGCTGCATCGGAGAGTAGAGGGAAGGAGACTTTAATGGCGATGACAGAGGAGACTGGTGGAGGAGAGAATTGGCCGGCAAAAGATGAGGTTCTTGATGATATGTGGGTGGATCAAAGTCGGAAGAAGGGGAAAGAAAAGGGGGAAAAATCGGCTACTGGTCATTTGGAGGGGTTAAATTGGGAAGTTTTGGTGGTGAATGACCACGTTGTAAATGCTTTTTGTTTGCCTGGTGGAAAGATTGTTGTGTTTACAGGGTTATTAGAGCACTTTAGAACTGATGAAGAGATTGCCACCATCATTGGGCATGAGGTATACTTTTATTCACCTTTTCTTATGAACTAAATTCCTCCACATATGTATATACAGTTTGTTACAGAATGTATATGACTATTTCTGTATTAAGAACTAATATGACCATCTATGTGTACACATTCTGTGATGATCATCATTTCTGTTTGATATTTGTTAAGAAATGAATTGATAGGATGATAAGAAATGAATAATGAGGTGGGAAGTAGTTAAAAGAATTAGTAATTACTGGTTTTAGAGGGTTTTATTTAGGGTTAAATGCAAGAAATATCAAATGTTCTTTAGACATTTAGTTTATGGTAAAAAATGTGTTGGTTTTTTTTGCTAAACGTTGATATGGTTGTAGGTTGCACATGCTGTAGCAAGACATGCAGCTGAACAGATTACAAAGAACCTCTGGTTTACAATCGGGCAACTAATTTTGTATCAATTTGTCATGCCGGATCTTGTAAACACCATGTCAAATCTTTTGCTTAAGCTTCCTTTCTCCAGGAGGTATGTTTTAAATTTATGAGTTTAGAGTTGTTTTGTTAATCTTTACTTAATTGGCTTAATGAATTAAGCACTTAATCTGGACAGCTATACATGGCTGTTTCTTTTTGACTTAATGTGGACGTAATGACTTGATGGGTTAAGCCAAAGAACCCGGCTTAACGTACCAAAACACTTTTTTTTTTTTTTTAACCTATTTGACCAACTTCTTTTTTCCTTTCAACTTGAATATTGTTAAAACCAATAAATATTATTAGGTGTTGTTGATTGGATCTTTATATGTTGGATGTAGGATGGAGATTGAGGCTGATTACATAGGGTTGTTGTTGATGGCTTCAGCTGGGTACGACCCACGGGTCGCACCAAAGGTATTTGAGAAGCTGGGTCAAGTTTCGGGTGATTCGGCATTGCGGGATTACCTTTCTACCCATCCATCTGGAAAGAGGAGAAGCAAATTGTTATCTGAGGCAAGTGTAATGCAAGAAGCAGTTGCTATATATCGAGAGGCTATAGCAGGTAGAGAGGTTGATGGTTTTTTCCTATAGCTATAGCTAATGGTATTCTATTCAAACCAGAAACCACCACTCGTAAATTTGTAATAACAGATGTTGTAATTGATGTCATCAGAAAAATCAGAAAAAAAAAAAATATAACTAAGGCACAACTTATTCTCTTTCAATTTACCTACATAAAAATCAGAAAAAAAAAATTAGAACAAATGTAAAGAGGCATAAATTTTGAAAAACAACACCAAAAGAAGTATCACTAAGGCACAACTGAGGAGAAACAAGAAATAGTTTGATAATCAATCCTATGAAGCCAAAAAGAAGGTACCTCGAAAACAGAAACCAATGAAAAGCAATGTAAAATGTCAATAGGTTGGAAAAAAAAAAAAAAAAACAGCAGGAGCAAAACTAGAACAAGGGGTAAAACCGTCCATAATGGCCAAAAATCCAATAGCTACAGTATAGATCACCCCAAAACGAAGAGAAAAATAATGTAAACACTTCCACCTCAGGAGCAAAACTACAAAAAACATCATAGAGAAAGACATGCCATATCACGAGCCAAATGGAGCCATGGGCAATGCTGTCCACATGGTCAAAAAAATCCATCAGTCAAGTCACTGTAAAGAGCAACCCAGATATGAACAACATGAAAATTTAATCACTAAAACACCCTAAAACAAGTAAAGAAACAATGACACCTTTTCCCTACAAACAAATAGAGAAACAATGATACTTTTTCTGTTTCTTGCTCATTCATTTATGATTTGCCTTCTTGAAAATTGCTGTGAAGCCATGTACTATGATGAGACATTTAAAAACTCAAGTGTCTCTTGGAAAGTGCCCAAAAAAACATAACTACAGGGCCCAGAGAAGCCCACATCGTCTCTAAAAGGTTCGAACACGGGATCTGACAAAAGCCAACTAGGGCGCCTTAACCATATGAACCAATCCTATGTCTGTTTATGTGTTGCATATTATAAATATATATACTAACCCGAATTTACGGGGCCCGAGATTGCCCAGCTTCCCCTCCCCCCTATTGGGCTGACCCAGAATGTACAATCTCATAGTAACGATCGACTCTCTTTATCCAAAAACGCTCGGAGCTTATCCTACATTTGTTGACCTAACATCTTCCAGTTTTTCATATTATGTTAATTTGGCTTCTAACATCTTCCACATCAACTAAGAGCTGACCTAAGACCTTAGCTTATTGTTGGAGGTTGAAGGGCGGTTAGCGTTTTGAATTAATTTTAAGTAGTCGGAAGACATTTTCAATGAATGGCGTACTTTTGTTGTGAAGTACATTGTGAATGACTTTTGGCGTGAGTTATATTAGTATCTTTAAATAAATTATGAATATGAAGGTAGGTGGAATATCTAATGAATTTAAGTATAAGAAATGATAAATAGTTAGATAAGTGAGAGTAAAGTGATGGATTAAAGGGTGATAGTTCAATTTATTATAGTGATAGGTGGGCAATATATAACTTTCAAAATTGATAAAATTGCGTTTATACTTTATACATTGATAAAACTGCGGAATGCCGACTCTAGAATCCTCTCTATAGTTCGGAATATAGTGTTCAAAAGTAATTGGTTATTTGGTTATTTTATAAACCAAAAAAATTGGTTATTTTGCCCAATATTTAATAAAATGATATACTGTAACTTGTTAACAGATTTAACTGTTGGAATGCCCTTTGTAATTTCATTAGCTCCTTTGATTTAATTCATTGATAGAACAATGATAGAAGCCCGCTGGTTTTTGAAATCAGTAGCACGCTTATTAGACGACTGTAAGAACATTAGAGACCTTAAACAAATTCATTGCCAAGTCATAACATCACCATACTTGTCCAAATCAGATCATCTCTTCCTCATTTCTCGTCTCATCTTCTTCTGCGCTGTTTCATCTTCGGGTTCTCTCAGTTACGCTACTCGTGTTTTTCGAGTCACCGATAACCCAAATCTCTTTATCTACAACGCCATGATCAGATCATATTCTTGTGAATTCAGTAACAAAGACGAAAAACCACGCTCCCTAATTTTGTATAAGCAAATGTTGCAAAACTGCATTGTGCCAGATTGTATAACTATCCCATTCCTCTTAAAGGAATGCATGGGCAGACTTGATTTTGTGGCGGGTCAAACCATTCATGCTCATTCTGTTAAGTTTGGGCTTGACGATGATGTGTATGCGCGGAATTCGGTGATTGGTTTTTACTCCGCCTGTGGGGTTTTAACATGTGCACGAAAGGTGTTCGATGAAATGTCTAAGAGAGATACTGTATCTTGGAATTCAATTATTACTGGGTGTTTAAGAAACGGGGAGCTTGATATGGCAGTTGATCTGTTTACCAGGATGGATAAGAAAAATATTATCACTTGGAACTCTGTAATCACTGGAATGGTTCATGGAGGTAGACCTAAGGAAGCCATTGATTTCTTTAACAAAATGCTTGTATTAACAGAGAAGGATATGGTTTACCCTGATAAGATCACTTTGGCGAGTGTCATTTCAGCTTGTGCATCATTAGGGTTACTTGATCATGGCAAGAGTGTTCATAGTTACATGTTGCGAAATGGAATTGAGTGTGACATGATAACTAAAACGGCAATGGTGGACATGTATGGAAAATGTGGAAATGTAGATATGGCAATAAGGGTTTTCAAGAATATCCCCAAAAAAGATGTATTGGCTTGGACATCAATGATATCAGTGTATGCTCTTCATGGGTATGGCAATGAAGCTTTTGATCTTTTTGACAATATGGTTGCATGTGGGACAAGACCAAATCCAGTAACTTTTGGTGCTTTATTAACAGCATGTGCTCATTTAGGTTTAATAGATAAAGGTCGTTGGTATTTCAACATTATGAAAACTGTTTATCTGATTGAGCCAACAGTTCAACATTATGCTTGCATGGTTGATATTCTTGGTCGAGGTGGACTTTTTGAAGAGGCTGAAAGGTTAATTACTATTATGCCCATGGATCCAGATGTTTTTGTGTGGGGTGCATTACTTGGAGCTTGTCAAATGCATGGGAACATAGAGCTTGGAGAAAAGGTTGCTAAACATTTGATAAGTTTGGAGCCTTTAAATCATGCTTTTTATTTTACATTATGTGATATGCATGCGAAATCTGGTAAATTTGATGAATTGGAGAAAATTAGGGCTATTATGGATGTGAGAGGGCTTAAAAAGGACATACCAGGTAACAGCATGATTGAAGTTGATGGCATTGTTTATGAGTTTTCAATAAAAGGATCGTCTGAGGTCATGATGGAGGAGATTAAAAGTTTCTTATGTCAATTAAGTAAAGAGATGAAGGTAGATCAAATACAGTTTACCATTTGAGGAAAAATTATGAAAAGTAGCAATGTACTTAGACAATGTATTTATTATTCACCCATAAAAGCAGCATAATTACATTTTTTTACCCATAATAGCAAGATACTTTCATTTTTTTATTGATAAAAATAAGTAAATTGCAACTTATAATTTTTTTACCATTGTAAAATTACATATTGTTGGTATCGATAAAAAAAAAACTACATTTCTATTATGGGTAAAAAAAGTAAGCTCCTCGCCGTTACGGATGAAAAATGTAAGTAAATTGCTATTATGGGTAAGATATAAAGTGCGTTTTATAAATTTTATGTTACATGTTGCTATTATCGTAAAAATGTAAATATGCTACTATCATGAATAGAAAAATATAAGTATATGTTGCTAATATGGGTAAAGAGTAAAGTACATTGCGGATATTGTTAGGGAGATTAAATAATGTTGTCATTTCCTGCAATTTGCTGAAAACTATTATGGTTATGTTTTACGTACATAAAACAAGTATAACTAGATTTTTATTTTATTTTTTATTTTGAACGGCAAGAAAAAGAAAAAAACAACAACTTGCCAATGAATATATTAAAGTCAACATCAGCATATGGCATAGATAAACATCAAAATCATCACGTCAATCTAGTTGTAAAGTTTTGGTCTACCGCTAAATACAAATTACTATTCTTAAAAGCTACATTTTTTTCACTCTCAAAGGTAAAAAAAAAAAAAAAAAGCAAACATTACTTTATGGACTTTTGTTTCTATAAAAAGTGCTTAAACAATCTAGATTAAACATTACTTTATGGACTTTCGTTTCTATAAAAAGTGCTTAAATAATCTAGATGATCGGCATTTTGATTATAATCCAAGGATAAAAAACAACTCGAAATAGTATTATAATAATTGAGAACTTAACGTCTCAACCCGGTCGACGTCTGAGGGTCCCACCTCCCACCGGTTCAGTTGATAACTACAATAAAAACTCACCATAATTACAAGTTTTACAGCGATTCATCCTTGACCACCTGCGTTTAACTTCCAAGATGAACAATGTGTTCATGGTTTCTAGTTCTACCATTTTCTTCTTCCTCCTTACAGGATTTTACTTTTCAACACTCTTCATGCTAACATGTATTGGATTCGTAGTCCTGTTGGCGGTTGCACCCGTGGCTTTTGTATTTGTACCTTACTTCAAAGAACTCATGTCAAACGATCACCGGCCACCTGTTGTTGGATCGATTTTTAGTATGCTGATACACATCAACGACCTTTTCGATCATATCACGTCGATTGCAAAAATCCATCACACCTTCCGTTTTGTCAAACCAACACACAGTGAAGTCTATGTTGCTGATCCTATCAACGTCGAACACATTCTTAAAACAAATTTCCAGAACTACACCAAGGTACTTTTCATTTTTCAGCAACGTTCATGGTAGAACTTCACCGGATTCGGTATCTTATTTGTGATTGTAGGGTGGTTGACTTTTAATTTCGTTTCGTCACATCAACATTGACAGGGGGATTACCACAAAGGGATAATGGGAGATCTTTTCGGGAAAGGGATATTTGCAGCAGATGGAGATGTATGGCGTCACCAGCGGAAGCTAGCAAGTCATGAATTCTCAACTAAAGTTCTCAGAGATTTCAGTACTGTTGTTTTCAGGTCTAACACAGCTAAATTGGTGAAGAAGGTTTCGGAAGCAGCTGTCAATAAGGAGATTATTTCTTTACAGGTATTTGAAAAACGACGAGTATCGTGTTGATGAAATCTACAACAAATTAACTCATAACTTCCTTTCCTTACAGGATCTTTTGATGAAATCAACTTTAGATTCTATATTCAAGGTCGGATTTGGATTTGACCTCGATACTTTATCAGGATCAGACGAGGTCAGTAATCAGTTCATGACCGCGTTTGACGATTCAAATCGCATCATCTTCTGGCGATATGTCGATGTGCTATGGAGGATAAAAAGGTATTTCAACATCGGATCTGAAGCTACTCTCAAGAAAAACATCAGAGTGATCGATAACTTCGTGTATG